AGTCCAGGTCAGAGGTGCTGCTGGCTTGGTTGAAAGTGGTGGCAGCAAACATAAAAACGAATATACCTGGGGACCACAAGTAAGAACACAACAGAGGACAATTCAGGGACTTCATTCATAAAGATTAAATGTGTGTGACATCCCCCCAACTGCTCATTACAGAAGCTGGTGGCCGCATGCACTGGTTTCCCAAGAATTCAGGATGCGGCTGAAGGCTTCATCCTTGACTGCAAAGGTTATGCGTGGGAGGTGGAGTGAAGAGGCAATCAGTTAGGTGTTTGGGGGCACCGAGATGAAAAAGGCAGCAGAAGATGTATTGGGGAAAACAAAGTCAAGTTTTGTTTTGGTTTTGGACTGTTAATTGAGATGGAGATGCCTATTAGATATCCAAGCCAACATGTCAAGAGGAGAGTTGAACTTAAGGGTTAAGGTTATGCTTTGAAGTTCAGGGGAGAAGTCATTGACAAATGACATTATAGTTCATGTGGAAGAGTAAATATCTGAATAAAACTAAGAAGGGTTTTATAACAGCGATAGGTGATATGTCCCATTGATACTGAAATATTCCATACAGCCCGTGTAATCAAATCAAGATGCTATTAATGTGGGAATAAATAGCTCAGTGGGACAGTAGAGACTTGAAGAAATGGATTTCAGTCAAAATGAAACTGCAATACATGACAAAGATTACACTCTAATTCTTTGGGGGAAAGGATGGGCTGTTCAATAAATGAATGATGTTGGTACAGCTGGCTATCCATCTGGAAGAAAATAAAATTAGCCTCCTATTTTACACATTTTACAAAAATAAATACCAGATGGATTAAATATTTAAATGTTAAAAAGAAAATAATAGAAGTGCTTGCAAGAAAATTTAAGATACTGCATGTACGATCTAGAAATGGGGAGACCATCTTGCAAAGACTAGAACTCTGGAAGCTGTGCAAGAAATTGAAGATATTTGGATAAGTAAAAATAAAATATTTTCTGTGGAGAAAGATTCCATTAAAAATTATGAAGGGCAGCTCTGACTGGTATGACTTAGTGGATTGAGCACCAGCCTGAGAACCAAACGGTCACTGGTTTGATTCCCAGTCAGGGCACATGCCTGGGTTTCGGGCCAGGTGGCCAGTAGGGGGCATGCAAGACACAACTACGCATTGATGTTTCTCTCCCTCTCTTTTGCCCTTCCTCCCCCTCTCTCTAAAAACAAATAAATAAAATCTTTTTTAAAGTTTTTAAAAATTATAAAAGACAGAAATGTATTTGAAAATTTGTAATTCAGATGGCAAAGTTGGTATGTAATATTGAAGAGCTCTTACAGATTTTAAGAAAAAGACAGTGGCTTAATTTAAAATATGGGCAAAGGATGTAAATAGACAATTCACAGGGTGGCCAGTGCAAATGCTAACATGCGTTGAAGAAATGTACAAATTCATGAACTGTCAGGAAACTGCAAAGTAAGACAACACTTTAACACTGTATTTCTTCAGGGTGCCAAAAATTAATGAGTGCTATTCATTGCTTGTAGGGATGTGTCTAGTCATATTTTTTGGTGGAAATGTGAATTGTTATAGTCTTTTTGAACAAGAATTTGGCCACATCTATTAAAATAAAAAAGTATATATCTTTCAATTAAGCAGTCTTTTTTCCCCTGGGAATCTATCCCATAGAAATAAAGGCACTAGTGCACGTGAATTTAGATACAGAGATTCTATTACAGCTTTGTTTTTAGAGCCCCAAAATTGAAAATAAGAGTGAAGGCTTCTCAAAAGGGAAAAGCTGAATAAAATATGGCCCTTTTATGTTATTAAATACTATGAATATACAAGGGGAGATCCCCCAAAACCCAGAATTTATTTATAAAAAATTGTGTATTTATTCTTACATGTTTAAACTGCAGTCACCTTCAAAGTACTCTCCATTCGATGCAGTACACTTATCGAAGTGTTTTTCCATTGCTCAAAACAGTGTTTGAACTTGTCGATTTTGACGCCTTTTAGTGCTTCTGCTGTTTTTTGTTTCACCTCTTCCCTATTAGCAGCACGTTTCTCTTTGAGCACTTTTTTCATTCCAGGTAACAAAAAATGTTCCTTGGGGGACATCAGGTGAATATGGAGGGTGGGGCACAGGGGTCATGTTGGGTTTTTGGTCCAAAACTACTGCACTCAGTGCAGGGTGGGCAGGGGCACTTGTAAGTCACCCATCATGAAATGGGCAAATGTGTTGAGAGTCTTCAAAAAAAAATTCACTGAAGCCAAATGCATCCTCTCACAACAACACCAGCTGGTACACTGATACAGATGGGTTCCCAGAATACTCACCTAGTTGGGGAAGCCTGTAACACAAAGGGGCCCATTCTCCAGAAGATAATTCTGGAATTTTTGGGGTCCTCCTTCATACGAATGTATGAAAGACTGAATCTGAGGTAACCAGTTTACTTAGATTCTCGTAAGGCATTGTTGGAGGGGAAAGGAAAATACGGAGTTCATGTAATATAGTTTCATTTTAAATAAATGATGACAAACTCCTTCTGTGTGCACTTATATATGCTTATGGGTTTTTTATGCTTATGTAGCATTACAAGAGCATAACAAAATAGAGAAGAAAACATACTAGATTGTTAAATTCGGTTCATTCTGGAGGAGAACCATATGAGTGTAGAGGAGGACTTATGTAAAAAAGGAAAAGAAAGCAAAATAAAAATCTCCAAACTTCCTATCACAAAGATTTTTACTCCTTAAGTTCTTGAGGCACCCAATTTCCATGAAAATTCAAATTTAAAAACAGTGGCTATTCCTGCCCACCCAAAGTCATGTGTGTTTGCAGGCAGGCTTCATTGTCCAAGTGGCCATGCATCGCAGTGACGGGGATGCACTCTGAGAAATGCATCTCGTTAGGCAATTTTGTCATGTGAACATCATAGGGTGCATGCCATAAACCTAGATGGCACAGGCTACTGCACACCCAGGCTGCATGATACAAGCCTGTTGCTCCTGGGCCACAGACCTGTGCAGCGTATTACTGTACTGAAAATTGTAGGCAATTGTAACTCATTTTAAGTATTTGTGTATCTACACATAGCTACAAAGATCCCTTTGAGCTTAATCTGGTTCATCCCTCTCATTTTGCAGCTGAGGAAGGTGGGGGTCAAGATAACTTTAACAGAGCTACCCCAAATAATTTTATAGCAGAGAATTAAAACCAACCGAAAAGCTATGACTCAGAGCAAACCCCTTGTTAGTATATGTCCTTTTGGTCTCTTAAAAATGTGTGCACATGTTCCCATAATAAAGCTTGTATCATACTGTCTATATGTTCGTATCATGCCCTTTTCACTAAATACGGTTTGAGGTTTCCCCCTAAATCTTGTATTGTTATTTACACATTTGTCATTGACATATTGAAATAGTGACTATATAACATCTCATTGCATGGCTATACCATAATGTATTTGACTGATTCCCTGTTACTGGGCTTTTAGTTTTTGTTTTGTATTATTGTTGTTATTAGAAATAAAACCTTTGCAACTAAATTATGGCTTCTCTCTAATTATTCATTTCTTTTTTCCCTTTTTGTTAAACTTATTGGGGTGACACTGGTTAACAAAATCATACAAGGTTCAGGTCCACAATTTCACAAGACATCATCTGTGCACTGTATTATGTGTTCAACACCCTGAGGCAAATATGACCGAAAACTTCTGATTACTTCATAAGGGGAGAAATACCAGTTTGGTTTAAAGGGATGAGCACATTTAAAGGTTCAGATACATAACGACCAAGCTGATCAGTCTAGAAAAGTTATACAGATTTGCCACAGGTAATGTTTCATATCTCTTTTGAAATTTCATCAACTTTGAAAGTTACTCTAGATCATGTGGAGTTCAACTTTGCCCTAATTTTACTCATTTAAAAATACTAACAACTGCGATGCAACTATTAGTTTGAAAAGATAAGAAGTGTCATTCTCATATTGTAGATGAACCTGTGAAGGGCTCGGGGAGCAACACACGACTAAATGCCCGAGGATCTACGGGAAGTGTCCGGGGGTTTTCCTGCAGGGGTCACTGTAACGGGCAACTTGGGCCTGCGAGGAAATGAAAATAAAGTCATGCACTTAAGAATGTATGCTCATTCACTTTTAATGCCTGAGTTGTCTACATTCTCTCAACTGCAAAATAAATAAGACCTTCAGCCAAATAGCATCAATAGTGCCAAGTTCTTTAAATAACGACGCCTACCACTCTCTCCACTCAATATGCTCCTGCGTTTGAATTGATTAAATGTGTGCGACTCGTGAAAGGCGCTGCTGCTTGCTCTTAATAGAGGACGCATTAGCCAATTACCTAACGCCAATAAAGTGGTTTAAGTGGCATGTATGCTGACGAAAAAGAGGGGAAAAAAGCATTCATTGCCGTGAACGGCAGGATCCCTTCTCGTCGCCTTTCTTTTTGTTTCTTTTCCCCCGTGACCCTGTTTGCTCTCTGCCTCAGAATCTACGCAGAAGACAAAATCAGATATAATCTGCATTCTTTAGTGCTATTTGAGTACAAAGACGTGCTTTTCAATTTTTAAGTAAGTTTTTATCAATGCAGCTCAAACTATCTCCCGACAATCCAGGAGCCGGGCCAAAGTGGCTGGGAGGACACACCTTTCTTTACTAGGCGGCTGTCAGGCTTCAGGGCTGGGGCAGGGACCACAGCAGGTGTTGCTGGAGACGTATCAGCCCTCTCCACAAAGCAGGAGGCTTCCCCATCATAAAATGCAAAGTAGCCTGCTGTTTTCCATGCCCCACATCCCGGGCCCTCCTCGTCCTGTGGTGTAGGAAGGGGCTGGGAGGATATTTATTCTCCGCTCCCAGGTTTCTCTCATTTAACTGAACCCAACGGCATGTGCTTCTCTGAGGGCAGCGCCAGCGGGGTCAGGGCTAGCCGCACCTGGAGGGCAGGCAGCCGAGCTGACCGTGGGCTTTGACCAAGCTTGAGCGGAGCTGGGGCCTCCGGGAAGCTGAAGGAGCCGGGTTAGGAAACCGGGGCGTGTGATGTAGAGAGCTCAGCCTGGCACGCCGTGGCGCGCGGCGGACGCTTGGCTTCCCTCCACTCCTCTCGCAGCTGGGAGGAGTTGAGGCTGGGAGTCGGTGAAACGCTCTCACCTGTCGGAACCCGGATCTGGGCAGGGAGCAGGGCCTGGCGGCCAGAGCAGGGTGGTCACAGCAACCTCGGCTGGAGGCCCTCCCCGCGCTGGGACGCCACAGCCAGGGAGGCAGGTGTGGGAGCTGCTCCCAGAGACTCTGGCCGCCCCCACCCGCGGGTCCGCGCTCCGGCTCCTTGCTCGCCCCTTTCTCCCACACTCGCCATCCGCATGCTGTGCCCCAAGGTCAACTCTTGCAGACGCCCAGGGTTGCAGGTTCGAGACGCTCCGCCTCCTTCTGGCACTTAGAGCCGTAAGCACTAGCAGGAACCTTCTCTGTTGGTCTTAGTCTGCGGTCATTGCTGAGGTTTTCGGAAGCTTGGCTTCTAACCGACGCCGTGCCTGCACCCTGCCTGGGATACCCCCAGGCCTGGGAGATTCCGCTCTCCGGCACCGACGCCCCAACTTTTTACGTGCTGTCTGCGCTCCCTGACTGGGTGTCCACCTCCGGTGCCAGCACCGTTCGCAACTGAGCTCGGCTCGCCCTCTGCTCCCCGGGTGAGTGCAGGCTGCGCGAGCCCGGATCCCGGGTGCACTTTTCAGTGCCAGCGCTTGGGACTCACCTCCGCCTCGGAGCCCACCCGGGAGCAGAGACTGAACCCCGAAGGTCCAGGCCTCTTACTCCGAAACTCAAGTCGGCCCCCGTCATTTCTCTCCGAAGCCGGGCGCCCGTCGCGGGTGGGCCCGGCGAGCGGCCGGGGGAAGGATCCGGGCGCTGCGGGCCACGTCGCCCCGTCGGTTGCAGCGAGCACCATGGCGGGCTGCTGCTGCCTGTCCGCGGAGGAGAAGGAGTCGCAGCGCATCAGCGCGGAGATCGAGCGGCAGCTTCGCCGGGACAAGAAGGACGCGCGCCGGGAGCTCAAGCTGCTCCTGCTGGGTGAGTGACACCTTCCTCCCGGCCTTTCCCTCGTGCGGGTCCCCGCCTCCAATCCCCGCGGCAGACGGATGCCTTAGGCGCCTGTCTTTTGCAACTCCAGCTGCGTGACTTTCAGCTGCCCCCAAACAGGGTTGAGACGTCCCGTGTGCTGGACCTCTGTGTGCCTTCCCCCACCTGTTCTCGTTAGCCTCGGTCCCTAAAGCCTCGACCTCCTCACCTGGCCCCTTCCATCCCGCCAGCGTACACAGATTCTGCAGAAACCCATCTTGGGTGTTCGGGTCGGTGGTGGGGAACTGACTGATTCATAGGCTGGATTCACACTCAGTTCTAATACATAAGTACTGTTGACAGAGCACTTAACAAGTGCAGGACTGTGCTAAGTTCTTAGGGGCATCACCGCCAACTGAGGCGGACAGGTAATGTTTCCATTTTAGAGAGTTAAAAATGGAGGCTCAGAAAATTGGCGAACTCGCCTTGGCCAAAAAAAGGCAAAGCAGATACCAGCTCAACCATGTGGGTGAAGCCCGGGTCCTGGCCACCTCCCTCACTGTGACCCACCTCCACTTGCCACCCGTCCCCCTCCCTGGGAGGCCTTTTCGTTTGCAGCAGGCCCTAAACTCCCTTGCCCAGGTGACTCAGCGTGAGGAGGCTCCTGAGATGTGGCTTTGTGGCCCTAGGTGCTTCGGCTACTTCTTCATTTGGCTCTTTTGGTCTCCCGGTTCTAGGTAGGACACCCATTCTCTCAACAACAGAAAGAACATGTAAGGTTTGCCCAGTTTATGCCGTAGGAAAGGAACTCTGTTCAGTGGGTTTGCCGTCTGAGGAATAGAACAGCTAGCTGCCAGTATTTCAGCTTTTTCTTTTATCCCTTCCAGACAGGACTCCTCTCTTACACCAGTTTATCTTTGGTATAAGGAACCTTCTTCCCAGAAAGAAAAGTTGATGTAGTTAGAATAAAACAGGGAAGGCTTTTTAGTCTGTTTTGCCTTGAACCTGAGTAACAAAATCCCTTACACCTTTTTCAGGGGTTTAGAGGGCAGGGTGTAAGCTTCCCCACGCAGTGTCCCCTCCCCACACTGAGCTAATTGTCTGCAGGTGAAGTGGACTGCCCGCCCAGAATCCCCGTTGACCTTCAAGTCCTAGACACGGTGGGATTCCCTGCCTAGAGTCCCCCAGCTTGCTTTCAGGGCCTTCACAAGCAGAGAGGGCAGATTCCATCCCCGAGGAGTGCCCAAAGGAACAGGTGTGCCAGGTTGTGGACCATCTTGCAAATGTAGGCTGAGGGTCCATAGGATGCCCCAGACGCCTCCCTGGGGAGGGAAGGGGGCTGGGGAGGGAGGGAAAGGGATGCATGGATTGGCCAGAGTTGCTCTTTCCTGTCTGGCCTGGAACTCGGAGGGGTCTGAGAATTCTAAATCATACCTAGGCTCCAGGTGGTTATAACGCTACATTTGTCAAGGGAGAAGGATTTTGTGACAGTTTGCTAGCTTGATTAGCACTTTAAAGTAGTAATTATGTGGGTCTCCATTTGTACTCTTGCCCCTGGCCCCATAGATGGTAGGGGTGGCCTTGGCTTTAGCTGCACACTTTTTCTCATCAAGGACAGGCTGAACCCTCCTTTCGTTTTGAAATATTTCGATTTGTGTCAGTGTAAGAAGTACAGTGTCTGGAATATACCAGAAGCTTGGCAGGTGCTGGCTCGTTGTATGAAAAATGAAGCGGTAAGCTGAGCTATACTGTATTGGTAATAAGCCTATTTGTTTGCAGTAAAATGCTTGCATTTACACTCAGACTAGGGGAGGAATGTGCAGAGATAAATTGTTTGCCCTGGAAGCCAATTTAATCCTGATGACTAGAATCGTTCATCATCTTCGCAGGCCCATGCCTAACCCTCTTCCCATCCCCTCGAGGCAGGACCGCCTGACCTCCCAGGACCCCCATTTTCATCAGGCCTAGCTGTGACTAGCTCCTTGAGTTGGTGCTAGTCGCTCAGAAATTGCTAGAAATTGTTTCCAAGCTACATGGAGCTGTCCGAACCCCCAAAGGATGGACTTCAAAACCTCTGATTTCTTTCAGTCTTTAAGGGAGTAGGGCACACTTCCTTTTTTTCTCAGAATAGAGGAGGAGTCAGTGACTCAGGAAACTCAGGGATCAGGGAAGGGTATGCTATTTTGTTTGAAGTCAGGCAGTTCAAGTGCAAAGTTCATTCACCTGAGCCTCTGTAGTGGGTGGAGGTGATCCATTGCTCAGATACCTCAGGTGAAAGCTCTACTCTGCAAATGGGACTTTAGGATCTTGTGTGAAGCGTGGCCTGGCCTGAAAAGCCATCAGCTCTTTCACAAAGAAGCATGCTTTTGCTACTACATGATCTGAGGATGTTTCTGAAGTGCATCGATGGCTCAGTTCATATCCTGTCTGCACACAATACAAGTATAGGTCAGTGTCCACAGGAAAGATAAAGCTGTGGTCTCATTAGAGCTAGTCATTGGAAGATGTCAGCATGATGCTCTCAGAGAAAGGAGGTTGAAAACAAAGAAGAGGCTCAACTTTAGTAGAAAGAAAATCCTTATCAGTTCTGCAGATAAAAGTAGCGCCATTGGGTATTCCCATGAGAAATCTCCTAGGCACTCTTCAGTGTGAGAAGAAAGTGGCTGGACAATAGAAATTCAATGGAGAGAAATATGATCTTTTGTTTTGTAGTATTAAATGAGGCTTGGTTAAGTGTTGTTAATCAGGTGGAGTCTTAATTTTGGATGCAGACCTCATGCTGGAACTGTCTGGAAAGAATGTTTACTGGGGAATTGGAATTGAACTTCCATGGGTATAGGAGTTAAAAATGTAGGTTCTTAAGTCAGACTTCTTGGGTTCAAATCCTGGCTCTCCCCTTCCTAGCTGTGGACTCACTTCTCTTTACTTTGTTTGGCAGTGAGCACTTGGTGTCAGCAATCATGGCCACGTTTTTCACCGAGACAGTGCTGCTGTCCAGTTTAGTTGCCCAGTTGTTGGTAGCGTAGCAGTTTGTCTAAATAGTCCTGGTGGTGCTTTGACAGAAATGGCTTGCTCTGAGTCTCCCCCACTGTTTTTATGTTTTTGTTTTGTTTTGTTTTGCACCATAAGCTCATTTTAAAGTGTCTCTCCCTCCTTGTAACAAAGAGTTGAAAATCCAAGTCTCAGAACGTTTTATTACATTGGTTGTAACAAAAATCCCATTTTAAAGTCGTGTTTCTGGGCCGGAAGTCCATTAGAGGAAATGGCGTAGATAGTATGAATTTCTCAGTAGAAGGCAACAGAATTCTGACTCTGTGAAGAAGAAAAGGAATGAAATGATAAGTATGCCCATGCTTCTTTTTGCTTAGTTTAATCCAAAAGGCTTTTCCAAAGTGCCAGGCATGGTGCTCAGAGCTGAGGGTCATTTCCAAGTTGACTTGGGGTTGCTTTTTCACAGGTAACTGTTACGAGGAAGATGGTCATAAGCAGAGACTACCAAGTGTGAAAGGGGAGTGGGAGGGATCCTCTGAGTAGGGCCGTGAAGGAAGGGGAAGGAAGGGTGCTGATGCCATCACATGGGGGTGTGTGGCTTCTGTGGGACACATGCAAGAATCCCTGCCTACAAAGGGCCACCTTTGAGGACAGTAAATGATGTTCTCAGGATCTGGGATAATATGAAGGACCCCTTGAGGGCAGATTGCATTGCGTTTTCATGTTTTTTTTTAAACCATTTATGTGAATATTATGTTCACTACAAAATAACTGTTAATGTAAGTGCTTAAATTTTTGTGCCATAATGTGCTTCAGAAAGGAAGACCATGAGATTTTGTCTGTGGCTCATGCCCACCCAGGCTGGAATCAACCAACCTCACCAGGTAGCCCGCTCCCACCCACGACACAGCGGTCCCTGGAGCCTCTCAGGAGACAAATGAAAGTTCTCCCTCTCCCTTTTCTGCCTTTAAACAAACACAGAACCTTTTAGATAATGGACTTGGACTTTTTCTTTTACCTTTTCAAGTAAGGTGCATTGAGGTATGATTTACCTACAACAAAAGTCACCAATTTTAAGTGTGCAGTTTGACAAATGTGAACACTTGTGTAAGCATTCACACAGTCATGATGCAAACATTTCCACCATCCCCTAAACTTCCCTGTGCCCTCTGTACTCAATGTCTTTTCCTCAAATTATTAAAACATTTTTTAAAATTTGGAAGCAACTTGTAATAATGAGCATAGTGCCAAAACCCACAGGTGTACCTTTTTCCCATTTGACCTATTACTGAAGTTTCACCTCATCTTTGTTTTCATTTGTGTGTTCCCTTTGGTTTTTCTGAAATGCTTGACAGTAAGACATATATGTATCTGTTCTCATATATGTGTATGTATTTAGTTTCTTCTACTCTGGAACACTTTCACCGGCTGTCATCACTTTTGCAACTTTACATTTTTGAAGAATATAGTCCCTTCTTCCTTTTCTCTCTCCTCTCCTTCTCTTTTCTCTTCTCTTCTCTCTTTTCTCTCTCTTCTCTTCCTCTCTCTCTGGTTAAACCCTCTATCTTTTTAATAGAACACTTCTCATTTGGGGTTTGATGATTTTCTTAGAGATTCCAACTGTATGTTCTTGACTGGAATTCTGGGTAAGTGTCCTTCCCAGGGGTCACCTCTAGAGATGCCCCGTGCCTGTCTGTCCCTCATTGGTAATACTAAGTGAGCACCTGCTTGTTTTCTCTACTGTTGAACAGTTTCCTGGGGGAGATGCTTTCTAAGGCCATGCAAATATTCTGCTCCTCATCAAAATATCCCTCTAGATTTTGTATAAATATATATAATTCCTGACCCAATTTGATGAGCACTCAAGGCGGGAGCTTCTGCGGCAGCCCTCACTTTCCTCAGGAGCAGTTGGCTCTCTGCTGCTGAGGAAATTAATGAGCTATCATGTTGGCTCGGGTTCTTGGTTGCAGACCATTTGAGCAGAAGGATAATTTATTGGAAGGGAAGCAGGAAGCACACAG